TTATTTATGATTGGCGGAAAATTTATATTTTTAACAGATCTGTAATGTTTATTGCAATAACTCGAAATATCTGTTATAATATATCTAAATTATTGTAATATCTATAAATAACTCTAAATATCTGTAATGCTTAAAATATTTATTGTAATATGTTTACATTTTTGTAAATTTTCATTTCTGTAATATTTAACAGATTTTATGTTGAAAATAAATTTTGGTAAGTGGGGTGAACGTACCTTGCTTACTACTCAGGAAGTATTTGTTAACAAAAAAATATGATTTCTTACCTGTATGGCTGAAGTGACGGAGTGCTGTTTTGTTGATGTACTTTACTTATCAATTAGTTGAAATAAGATGTTGATAATTTTTGGAGCGAAAATTAATCAGTATAACCAAATATTAAAAAAAAAAAATCATTTCTAGATCAAATACCGCACTATTTATTAATTAAACAATTATAGTGTGCCAATAACTACATCAGTGCCAATAACTCCATGCTTTACCCTATACCAGTTATCCATGTAAACAATATGCCCTTTCTTATAACATTGTTTCAAGAGGGTTGTAATTACCGATCCCGATACGCCTAGATTGTCCAATGTATCGATGTGACTTTGTTGACCACAATACACAATAAAATCTAGTAGATATCCAGTTTCACAATCACACAATACAAATAATTTTATTCCAAAACGGTGGCGTTTTGATGGAATAAATTGCTTGAAACTTAATCGTCCTTTCCATTCCACTATACTCTCATCAATACAGAGTTTTTGACTAGGTTTAAAAATTGTTTTGAATTTTTTTCGCAATGTTTCAATAATAGGTATTATTTTATATAATCTATCCCCTTTTATTTGATTTTTATTGTCATTAAAATGTAGTAATCTAAGCAACAAAAGAAATCGGACTTGGGACATAATACATCCAAAAGCGGGAGTAGACAGCAAAAAAGAAGTTGTCCAATACTCTTTAATTTTATTTTTTTTACATGGGACATGAGAAGACATACGGCAAAAAAAATATACATTTCATCTACGTTTGTATCAGTCCAACGGTTTAATTTTGACTTTACGGTCATTACTTTATTAGATATAACAAAATGATAATATTTATTAGTCTCGTCTACTATATGTTGTACCAAATCTTCGTCAAATACAGGTTTGAAAATATCATACTCGGTAAAAGGAGAAGGAAAATCATCAAGTAATCATCATCTCCAGTATTTGAATCATCAAAATCAAATTTTTTGGGCTCAAAGCTATTGATAGCAGTATCATCATAAAACCATTTTTCAGAAAACACGTCTGGACCTTTTTTGTTTTGTGATATAGTACTCGGAGATAGCGTTTGTGGTAAACTAACTGGAGGTATAACAACATTATCTTCACATACAATTGGTAATATTTCTATGTCTAAACTACGATTATTTTCTGATACTACTGTGTTATTCAAAATACTACTCAACAGATTTTCTCTAAGAGAGTTAGCAAAATTACTTTCAGAATCTGAACCATCAGAAAAATCACTTGATTCATATCCATCGCCTGACTCGTCGTTTGTAATCAACTCGATAATTTGTTTATCGCTTAGACTCATTATAATAATTTATCAACGCTGAATAAATACAAATAATTGTTAAATCGTGAAATCATATACTACGAATGTGATTTCGGGAATGTTAGTACAATTTCATAACAAATTATAATTATCATTTTGCATAAACACGCTTGATATTGTTATCAAGCAACGTAATTTTGTATAATTTATATCAGATAGGCAACACCAAAACACATGGTTTGAACACTCAATTTATAACCTCTTATAAAATAATTATAAAAACATATTATAACAAAATAATAATTTAGTTAAATGTATAGCCAGTAGATAGCAGCACGTGATTCATAAATTATCGTAAATTTAATACGGACATAACACATAGATAAAATAACGTTTTTGTGTAAAACGTAAATATACGTCCATACTCCCTGATTAGCGTTTCAACAAAACGTATATACGTCCATACTCGTCAAAGGGTTAATCGAATTATTAAATAGTGTGGAAAGGCAGAAAATTTGGATATGATATTTAAGGACATAATAAAATGTGAAGTTGATGTTGGTGAGGTTTTGTGTAAGTAGTCAGTAGTAATGTTCATTTTTAAATCTGAATCATTGCTATTGGATAGTTAGTAAGATATATAGTAAAATGATAAAATATCCATGGTTAAAAATTAAAAATATATAAGAATAATTTACAATTAATAACCCTCGGCACTCACTACAATATCAAACAGACAGTAAAAGACTAAAATTCAGTACACAAATAAGCATGTATTTGGTAACCAGCTGCCAATTCGTAAATCATAGTTATCCTACGGTATCTTATAATATTATGTTCATTAATCATTAATTAATGTTGTCTGATAGAATATTTATAGTAGGGAGGTCGTAGGTATGTGATGTTTATGGTCTTACTACAAATTATCTGCGATTACTCTTACGTACCTAACTAACCTAATTCATACCTGATTGACGAATAGGTACTTATTTCATGGGTATCTTAATAGTAATTTCAAAAAAACAATTGTTTTTTGGTAATTAGGTAGGTAATTATGTACCTATTTTTCCAGAGGGGGCGGGCAACCACCCACCGAGTTGCGCCCGTGCCCTATAAGTTTAATTACCTGATTATTATTAAAGTAGAATATTTAAAGAGTACAAAACGAAAATGGATTATTATTTAAACAATTAAATAGTCATAAAAGTTAAAATATTATACCTAACTACTATTTATTTATTTTGTAAATGTGTCAATAGGTATCATGTAATATTACGAAGTTTCAATAATAATAAAAAACCTTGTATAGGTAATTGGGTTACATTAGGTGTACATTTTTACCTATATGTGTTGGGTGCTATGGCTTATAACTTATAAGTTATATTATTGTTTTCGATTTCTAATCATCAAAATATTATATTATTCTTTATGCCAATAAAAATATTATAATATGGGAATTTGTCATTGTACTGTCACTACAATCGGTTCGGCCGCAGCGCAAGCAGTGGTGAGATAGGTAACGATTAATATTCAAACGAATAATAACAACATTGTAATATTTTATATTTGTAGTGCGGGAGTTGGGATCGTACCTAGTAAAAAATAATACAAATTATAATTTATACTAATAAATAATAGGTATCACAAAGCGACACTCTCAGGTAGCAATGTTAATGTGTCGCGAATTTTAAACGGCCTTAAAATAGTTCGTAACTTCTGTGTTACTAGTTACCACCAATTTTACAACATCAATCATTCCTCCATGAAATCAAAAAGATAAAATGGAGGGGTAAGTGTCGCTTCTATATTGGTATATGTATTAATATTTAAGTACATAGGTACTTAATAATTTTCAATAAAAAATTGTTTAATCGTTAACCGTATCACTGTCTATTGATGTTCAATTCTCATTTCTTGTATAACGTGTTTTTGATTGCAGTGAGCAATGTATAATAATTAATAATACATAATTAATGCTAGGTACAGTAGTACATAGGTAGGTACTTCTCATTTCTCAAAATAATCGGGAATCCAAAATTTAGGATATTAGGGTAGGTACTAGGTATGTAAATTCAATGTATTTTTTTCAATACTGGATTTAACCCATACCTATAAATAAATAATTTCTAATGGAAATATTAATATACAATCATTGAAATATCCTAGGCTGGCCCACCGTCTCCGTTAAGAATAGTTTAGAATTTAACACATTCATGACCCACTAGACATACCTACCTATTGTAAGTACAGCTGACCACCAAGTCCGGATTATGGGGGGAGGAGGCAAGGGTAGACACGATCCCGGGGCCCATCGTTATCCCCAAAACATTTTTTTTAACGCAACCAATAGTTTTCAAAAAAAAAAAAAATTATTATTTAAGTAGGTAGGTATATTAAGTAAATTATTATTAATAATTATAAAATAAAACTGTTCTTCATTTTACACCAAGAAAAATTACTATAAAATATAATGAACTATGTTTGCCAACAATTGTATTTGTTTTTTTTTTTTTTTTTTGAGCATTTTAGATTACCGATTTAACTATTTAAGTATACAAAAAGGTTGTTTAAAAAAAAATAATATTTAGCTCTTGTAAATTAGATAATTCAGTTAAAAGTAGGTAGGGGAGTCCGGGATAGTTGAACCACTTCGTAGAAAACTAATTTTAACTTCTTTCGTAATCGACATAGAGAAATGGAATTGATGTCTACAGAAAGTATAACTTCATAGTAACCTATAATAAATTCCAGATTGTTCTATATATATAATCATGAGTGCTACATCCATCTTTCTGAAAGTTGGAAAGTGGATCAAATCTCCCGGTTGTGCGGGTGACTTGAACCAAGGGACCGGGAGACATGAACATACCAAAGAAATTCATGAATGTAACAAATAAAAATGAAATTTTGAATAGGTATTATATTTGTTAAGGCACAGCAATTTTAGTTCTAGGAACATTAACTATATTTTGTCATTTATGAAACATTTTTACACATAGGTAACAAAAACAATTTTTCGATTTATTAATAACAACCACTTTTTATTATGTTAAAAACTTATTGTAACATATTTCTTATAATTAATACCTACTTTTTTAAAAATAGTTAAAAAACAAATTTATATTTATATTTTTATTAATATAATCACATACTTCAGACTTTTAGTTTCATACTTGTTACAACATTTTTATAAATAGGTAACAATAACAAAAGCAATTTTTAGATTTATTAATAACAACCACTTTTTATTATGTTTAAAACTTATTGTAACATATTTTTTATAGTTAATTTTTTTTTAAAAATAGTTAAAAACAACAAACGAATATTTTAATTTTTAGTAATATAACACTTATTTCAGACTTTTAGTTCATACTTATTATAACATTTTTATAAATAGTTAACACTAACAAAAGATATTTTATTTTTAATTTAAAACTTTGTTATTCGCATTCACAACAAATAAATGGATCTGTATCGTTTTTAGTTAGCCCCACGCATATTTCGTGAACATATCTTTTGCAATGAATGCAAAGACGCATATCTAAAATTTCATCTCCTTTACATACGAAACAATACCAGTGTTCATCTATTTCTATTAGATCCTCTAAAGCCCCGTCTGAGCTGTCGGCATATTGAATAAGGGTCTCCTCTTCTCTTTCGCTATCACTATCGCTGGACTGTAGAACTTGCTTTCGTACTTTCGACCTCTGATTTTTATTTGTTTTAGTAATTTTCTTTTTTCCGTTTTGTTCACACTGGTTTAAAGATTCTAGTGGCACATCTAGTTTATCCGGTGTTTTCGTCAATATTTTAGTCTTTCCAGGCTGCCTGCCTCGTCGGGTGGTTTTACGTGGTAAAGCTTTAGGAAGCGGCTTTATCATTTTGGGTGTGACGTTAATGGCTCGCGTGGATAGGGTAGATGAAGTGAGTGATGTTGGTTGTATTGGTGAACTGTGTGATGTTTATGGGATTAGTGATTCACGTGATGTTGATGGAAACGCTTGTGCAGGGATTGATACTGTAAAAACCGGCGATGAAATTGTAATCGCGTTATTTAAAGAAGTTGTTATTGGTGAAATACTTGATAATTCTGGTAACTGAGGTGTGGAATTTTCTTCTCTGTCAGTAACAGCAGAGCACAAGAAATCGTCATCTCCAAATATATCAGAATTAAGGGGATAAATACCTGCATTTTTGAAGCCACTGACAATGTTAGCCTGAGTAAAAGCCGATGACATAATTTGTGATACAATAGCAGGAATGGTGTAAATACTTACAGTTTTACCAGGATTTGACAACATCCAATTATTAAGAGCATCATTTTATTTTGACTTAAATGAAGCATACACAGTGATATCCAGTGGCTGAAGCTTATTGCTGCAATGGGGTGGGAGAGTAAGTAGGGTGACGTGGCTCTCGTGATTGTCAAGAATTAAAAGAACTCGATTTTCTTTTGATGCTTTAGAATATTTTATGAAGTGTACCATAAACTTCACAAAACTTTTCGTTGTCATCCACCCACTTGGATATGAGTCACCGTCTGATCCTAATGACCCATTTTCGACAAAAAAACTATTATACTTGACACGTGGGAAGATGAAAAATGGTGGTTAAGCATTCCCTATGGCATTCACAGCAATACAGACAGTAACTAGAGTTCCTCTTTCAGCTGACGTTACTTAACCAACTTGACGACACTGCTTACCAGCAACTACTTTGGGACACTTCTGCACCGTAGTACATCCGGTTTCATCACAGCTGTAAATATTCTGTGGTTCAAAATTATAATTTTCGATTACCTCTCTTAAATTATCAAAAAAATCTTGTACGTTCTTTCTATTAAAACTAGTGGCCCTAGAAAGACTGGTCGCTTCTGGTGTTCTTAAGCTTAGTTGTGTATTTCTTTTAAGAAATCCTCGAAACCAATCTTTGCCAGTAGATTTATTTTTGATCCAACTTTCTGGTATATTTTTGTGATTTGCTATAGCATAGTCACTCGCTAACTTCATAGCCGATACTTTCGATAAGCCATAATGCATTTTGCTGCATTCTAGCAAATAATCAACCAACACCTTTTCTTCTTCAAGTGTAAATACCTGAGCTTTGTACTGACTCCCCGTTTCATCAAATTTAGTTAATTTGTATTTATTTTGTACATACCGGCTTAGTGTAATTCTATCAACATTATACTTATACTTATACTTATACTTCATAGCTGACTTCCTTAATGACATTCCTTTTTCAACATCTGCATAGCATTGGCCATTTGTTGTTTGGTAAAAGGACTTCTTTTTTTAGCGCTTGCCTTTGGTTTGTATTTAAAAGGCATTTTTTTGTCTGAATACCTACAAATGGATAAAAAAATTGATGGTACCTACATATTTTTTACTAGAACTATTATTAAAATATTAATTACAATATTAATTATTTTATTATAGTTATTCTTGATTCTTAATTTTTATAATCCTACGTATATTATAAATAAATATAATTTAAAAATTAGAATTCAAAAAAGTGTCATGAACGTTTTTATTACGTCGGGAGAGTTGAACCATGGTTCAAGTCTCCCCCAGAGTGTGGTTGAAGTATCCCACCCACTACCTTAATCAGTTTGATAATTTATGGAAAAAAATGAAAAGACTATTGATGTAACTAATTAATATTGCATAAAACTACACAAAATTGCGAAGCTATTCATAAAAACAGTATATACGTACCTTAAAAAATCAACAAACGCCAAACAAACAACGATAACAATTTTTTTTTACTCTGACAACCCCAAAATACTTTTTTGTTGATAACAATCGAACGGATTTTCGAAATACAGTGTTGCCACATGGGTGAGTTTATTACGCGGTAATGCACATTATGAATCCGCTGTTATCTCACTAGCGCAAAATTTAAAAAAGTTATGAGCGATGGTTCAAGTCTCCTCCCTGTTCAAGTATCCCGGTCTCCCCCTACCTATTAATTGTTTTGAAATATATATACAAAAGTAAATGTTAATACAATTTTATATTAGGTAACTACCTTATTTTTCAATGATTCGAGATTAAAATTAAAATAATAATATGTTATTTTATAAATTATTAGAAAAAACTATTTACAATAAATCAACTAAATTTAAAAGTAGATGATTTATAGATATAAAAATGTTGTGAGTTGTGACACTGCATTTTTATTAACTCTACTTTTTATCAGGTACATCATGATTTAACACATTCCAGCACTAGTCAAGATAACTTCAAAGACAAAGAACTGGGTAGGTACTTATGTACGTACCTACTCAAATTATTTAATCCACCCTATCTCACTCACTCACCCTCGCATAATTTATCGTACAAAGCAGAGGGGGTATGTTAATTTTAAAATGGTTAAAACTGATCCCGTGCACTTCGTTGCTTGTTAAATGTACCAACTCTATATGACTCAAACTTTGTCCAGTTCGTTATTTAATATTCGGTGTATGGTGTTCAAAATGTATCTTAACTTTTCCCTTGACCGGAATAAAAATTCTGATTTACAGCAGTATATTATCAGTATGACAGTATGTTTAGTGCTGTTTGTACGTAAGTGTATGATTTAACTCTAAGGTATCAAAGTTATACCAAGTTTGTCGTATTTCACTTATTGTGGATTAATATAATCAATGAATACAAAATTAAAACCTAACTTAACAGTATTATAATAAAAGATGAATAAAAAAAACCTAATTTAACCATTTTTAAATTAGCCTGTCATCTTCCCAGAGATCTAATATACACACAAACATTCATTTATATATATATTGACAAGAATAATAATACAAATCAACAAACATGGCCGATTAACCAATTGCAACCAATATATAATACACTGTTGTATTTTTTACATCCAGATTTTCTACTTTTCCTAAAATTTTTTTTAGTAAAAACCTTCCCCTGGCAATTACGTAGATCTTATAAAAATTTGAGCCAAATCGGACCAGCCGTTCTCGGTTGATGAGGTATATAACGACATTTTCAAGCTCAATTTTTATATAATATATAGATTATGAACATTTTCAAAAAAAATATATCACACATACTTTATAGATAGAGATAGTATACAATAAAAATTGATTATCAAAAAATCAAAAATACATTTGACTGTATGATAATAGCCAAATAATTAAATGTTTTTTAAATTTAGTACCTATATATAACAAATTTAAGTTATTATTATAGGTACTTAATTTCTTTAAGTACCTATATAACAAATAATATAGTATTAAGTACACAACAAGAATATTTATTTATTTGAGAACATGATTGCATTATACTATATTATACTGTACTATATTATCAATATAATATAGCTGGTATTACATAGGTATTTTACATAGGTAATGTTATAACATAAAATAACAAATACAAATATATACTAACCATTATTGATGTTGTTGATTAGTTAGATTGATATGATTAGTAGTTTTTCTATGTAGTAATGCTATGGCTACATATTTATTTTTATCTATTGGCAATGTGAGGCATTTATATTTTAAACAATCTAAATTAATTAATTGGGGTTGAGGTTCAAGGATAATGGTATCAATGTAAAATATGGTTATTAAATCTGATGATATTGGATTGTCAAAAAATGACGAACATTTAAATTTGGTTACTTCAATTTTTATCTCACCATTAAAATATTTTATTATTTTATTTACTTCAATTATATCATAATTTTGAATAATAAAATACTTATCTTTCACATGTTTTGAACTCACAATATATTGTTCTAAAACAATTTGCTCGTATAAAATATCAATTATTGAATTATTTAATATTTTATCATATGGTAATTCATGTTTAAGGATAGAGTAACTAAAAGTGATATTATTAGTTTTAGCATTGATTTGTTCTATAATGTGATTATAAACATCTTGTAGAGAATATCTAAAATTTTTACTACTTTTTTTTATAAACTGTAAATAATTTTCAAATTTGAATGCACTGAATGCATCTAAGGCGTCATGAATTAAAACAAAATCGCATACATGTATTAAACCATGAACATTGTAACCAACATATTCTTCACCGTAATGTGAAGAATATTCAGTTACAAACTGCTTCAATAAATCTCTTGCTACATTATTATATGCATGACAAGTTTCAGGAGAAATTAGTAATCTTACGGCACAACTCAAAAGCATAAAATGCTTATAGAATGAAGTTTTTAACCGGCCTTTTAATACTATTGGGCCAGTATACAGGAAAATAGTTTTAAATTCTGTGGCCTTCCAATATTCAACTTCTTCTAATGTTCTAGGCAAACGATTAAACTCTGATGGTAAAAAAGATTTAGTATTAACTAATTTGTGTGATATTTCATCAGGATTTATTAGTTGGACAGGCTTTTTACCTTTGGTCCAAAAAATCAACACCGCCGATGTTATATTTATGGGCAATTCTTCCAATGGACTTGAATCTTTATGATAGTATTCATCAAGTTTATTTCTAAATGTTTCATTGGACCTTAAAGGAGCATTTAGTTCTAAAAAAGCCATTCGATTTTTTATGAAAGTACCTTCTACTGTACACGAGTTACACCCATGATAGACGTTAAAACTTTTTACATTTAACACAAAACTTTTTTCAGGGGCATCACATACAATTTGGGCAATTTCAAATTTAAGTAAAATATTATTAATATACAAACCATTATTTATAATTTCTTCAATTTCAGTTATGAAGAGATTTAAAAATTCATGATTCGAAGAAGGTTTTGAAAATTTACCATGATAAATCCCTACTGGTAATACAGTGTTTAACAACTTTGGTAAATTTATAAAAGATACAAGTATAGGCCAAAAACTAAATTTTGAGCTGGAAGTTAAGGGTAAGCCATCAATATTAACACTTAGTTATTCACTTATTAATCAAAGTAGTATGATCAATAATTGTGTTACTGTTCATTCCATTATTCATCCAAGAAGTGGCTGAAAAATTAACTGAAGGTGCTGTAGATGAGGTAGTTGGTGTTAAAAACATATTTGATTCACATTGATTTGCTTTTATTGATGAACTTGGTAGAAGGTCATCATGAACTCTTTGATCGACTTAGGAAAGTTGTTTTGATATATCATCTTGTACACGTCGTAAAAATTGTTTCTTTTCTAATAGACTGAATAGGTTTTCTTTTTCTTGTGCCCTTTAAATCAATTACAAATTACTAAAAAAAAATACTAAATTCAAGCTAAAGGAATTATGATAAAAATTGTTTATTTTTAGTTTAAAATGTTAATGTTATAAAATGAATGTAATTAAATTATTAACAAATGGCTGAGTAAATTTTAAAAGAAGCGTTAAAAATAAGTCTAAGAATCAAAACAAGTGTGCTTGCCCAACCAAAATAGACTATGTGAATAGGAAAATTATTACAAATTCAATACCCCAAATTAATATGTATACCTAATTTAGGTTAAATAAAAAATAAAAAAATAAAAGATAAATATGATTAATTTTTATACTTTTCTCGGCTGTAACGTTGCGATCCATGCCGAAACCAATCCTTGACATGTGCTTCGAAGCTGGATTCAGTTGAAGAAAATGTGTTCATAAATTTCAAATTAAGTTAGTAATCGGATTTGTCTTGTTTATATTTTTTTTACATGTTCACCAATGCTACTGATAGCTAATTTAGCCCTATCTTCTTTTATCTTAAGCCTCATTTTTTAAATGAGTGTCCATAGTTAGTTGGTTGACTGTGGCCAACTAAATTATTCAACTTATCGTTCCAGAACCTTGCACGGGCCAACAGCAGCAAATATCAATTGACCACGCGAGGCCAGTTCGGACACTAAAAAGACCCAATTATTACTTCGAAGAACAAACTCCTGTAAAATATTATAATGACCATTGTGATTAATTTTTATTACTTCTTACTATTACTATTACTATTAATTATTATAATCTGTACCTAACCAATGGTAACCATTTATAAACTTACAACAAATTTTTGATTTCAGACGTGACTATAAATATTATTGTGATTTTAACAAAAAAAATATAGCCTATAAGCCAATAACCTTCCTTAAGATTTGGCTACTAGTTAGCAATCGAATTAGTCTTTTATATATTATTTTTATATGTTCACCGATGCTACTGACAGCTAATTTAGCTCTATTTCTGCTATCTTAAGCCTCATTTTTTAAATGAGTGTCCATAGTTAGTTGGTTGCCTGTGGCCAACTAAATTATTCAACTTATTGTTCCAGAAATCACAATTCACTATGTACCTATATAATTATTTACTAATTATTTGTTGGGTGATCGCTGTCAAAAGTCGTTTTATGAACATCATTTCACGTATTCCAAGGAAAAAGTGTATTTATTTTATATTTTAATATAATTTTTTTATTTGTTTCTGTGATCAAGTGTTGGGACAGTAAAAATTGATTTTCTACTTCAGCATCATTTTTGATAGTAAAGTGAATCTAGTTGGTACGTTAGGGGGTCAAAAGTAAACAATTCCAAGTTGATTCCAAAAGCGTCGGGAAAAAACAAACAAAAATTAAGGAAAAACTGAGGTTTTTACTTAAAACCAGGATTTGAATCAATCGATTTTGTTTTTTAATTAAACTCTAAAACCGTGGATACATGCAACTTTCACTGAATATTGGTATTTTCTATATCTACAAAGATTTTTTAAATATAATTACTTTTATTGAGCTATTTATAGGCATAGGACATTTTTGATTTTTATAAATTTTTAGCTAAAATAAATAACTTGTGACATAAAATTGAAGATCCATATATATATAATATATATATACAAATGTATAAACAAAAACTAACCTAATACTTTCCATAGGTTTGGATGACACACTTGAAATGTATATTTCAACGTATTATGAAAACTTTCTATGTTATTATTAGTGCGTCGAGCTTGACCATGCACCGAAAAATTATTAGGTCCTGTCCGGATAAGCCAATGATTAAAATAGTTGAAAACCATTCAAATGCAACTATTTCTGCATTGGGATACACATTTGTAAATGCATTTCTCACACCAATTTCAAAGTCTGTCATTATTTTTTATGGCTGAATATTTGGAAATATTGTTTTAAAATGGGTAATAACCTTTTGATATGCCACTTGGGTTTTACTTTCCATTAACACGTAGCAAACAGGAATTTACTGTAAATTTGATACAAAATAAGTGCAATTATTACAATGTAAAAAAAGTAAATATGAATTATTAATGGTAACCATTCGTGCATTATTACAATATTGGTACCATTGGCACCTATAGTAGAGTTAAAGTAAAAACTTCTTACGTGGTTCTGAATAATCATATGGATATTAAACAGCTGATAGCACTTGGGAATTGATGGTACTACTTTAAAAGTAGCATCAGCATGCATTTCTATTCCTCCGTTCAAAACTACTTCATTAATGACCTCTGGGCAAGCAAACATTATATGGCATTTACCATGATCGTCAACTATGCTCTCTTGGAAAAATGGATGATTGTTACATTTGACTAAGTTCTGATGTTCATCCAACATTTCTCCAAGTACATTTAAAGTTGCAGGTATACCTGCATATACAAGATAAGACGATACAGACAATTGATATGTATATAAGTGCTAAGTTTGTAGCATGCATTAGAATGTATATAGAATTATATAATATATAATCATGTGGATAAGATAATGATAAATAAGAATATAAAGTAATAAAATAGATAATAATGATTAATTAACGTATTAACAGAAAAAAATGAAATGATGTAAGAGTATGACATGACGCTGGCATGACTTAGGTAAATTAATTTTGTTTAGGACAGTGGAAAGAAGGGACATAAGTGGATTAATGATTGCAGTGAAATTTAGAAAGAATTTTGATAACAACGTTTCGATAACGGAAATATTGTTATTGTTGTTTTCGGAACCAGATAAGGCATAAGCGTAAGATTTGGGCATAGAATTAGGACCAGGCTTTGAATTTGAATTGGAGGGATGTGAGGTTTTAGGATTTTGTGGCATACGATGAATACTGGATTGATATTTGCGGAGAGTTTTAAATGACGGACATCCTTTGAAATTCGCCGTGTGATCGCCTCCACACAGGGCGCATTTGGCTGGGCAGGAACTGTCTTTGCTGCATTCGGAGGTGAGGTGATCGCCGCCACACTTGACGCAGCGAGGCCGATGACCGCAAAACCGTCGAGTATGGCCGTATTCGTGGCAGTTGTGACATTGAGGTGGAACCCGATTGACCTTGTACGGTTTTTCGATTTTAACCAGAGTATGGAAAAGAGATGATACCTTAAAGATGTCGTTGTTGTTTTCAGCGGGTTTTAAATCCACGTAAAATAGTGGTAGAGCAACGCCGTGTTTTAAAATATTTGAGATTCTCGTGACAGTATGTCCGAGGGTGGCCAGAGCCTCAGAAATCAAAAAAAAAAAAAAAACAGAATTTACTTTTTAACTAAGTTAAAAATATAAAATAACTATCTATAAAAAATTATAATAAAACTAGCTGATCCCGTGCACTTCGTTTCCCGTTAAATGTACCAACTCTATATGACTCAAACATTGTTCAATGCGTTATTTAATATTCGGTGTTGATGTTCTAGATTTATCTTAACTTTTCTGTTGCCCGGAATAAAAATTCTGAATTGCAGCAGTACATTATCAGATAGGTAATTTACCTACGGTAGATCGCGGACCCCGTGCTGTTTGTACGTAAGTGTATGATTTAACTCAAAAAGTACCAAAGTTATACCAAGTTTGACGTTTTTACTTAATTCCACCTACTTATAAATCCTAACCTAACCTAACCGTACTAAAATCCGATGAATAAAAAAAACCAAATTTAACCCTTTTTAAATTAGCAAAAAATACAAAAAATAATAATACAAATCAACAAACATGCCCGATTAACCAATAGCAACCAATATAATATAATACACAATAGGGTAAATAAAGACAACAGTATCGAGTTCAAATCCCAGACATCAATAAATAGTTTTTGCAGTTTTTCTAATTATTCGGTTGACTTTTTAAAAATTTTCTTTCGTAAAAACCTTCACCTGGCAATTACGAACATCTTAAAAAAATTTGAGCAAAATCGGCCCAGCCGTTCTCAACTGATGCAATTTCGAATTTTTTGTCTCCATTTTTATATATATACATGGTGTAAAAAAAAATTGATCTATAATCTATAACATAATTCTATCCATAGCTGAACCCGTGCACTTCGTTGCCCATTAAGTGTACCAACTATATGTGACTCAAGCCTTGTTCAATTCGTTATTTAATATTCTGCGTAAAACTCTACTATAAGCGGTTTCACAGTAGGTTACTTAATCATCCTAACCCTCTCATAAAAAATCTAGCAGTCCCTTCGATTCCGGGTAACGCTGTCAGACGTCTCAAACGTAATTGGTGTCGTGACCTGCTAGACGCTTGAATTCTAGTTAAAATCCTCCTAAACTCTAAACAAAATAGGTAGTGTCATCATTGGGTGGCTTCTTCCGTCATATTACTCATGTTTTTAATACTCTTATCTAATTTGCTTATTATTCTATGTATGAATAGATTGTAAATATCTTGTAAAAATAAAAAAAAAAAATATTCGGCGTATGGTTTCAATATTAATCTTACCTAACTCTTCCGTTGCCCTGAATAAAAATTCTGATACGTCTTCAAATAAAGTATATATTGATAATAAAATTAAAGTATTCCATTGTAATGAATTGTTACAGAAATCAATATAAAGCATTTTGATAAACAATGTTTTTCGTTTTGTTTTCTGGTGCAAAAATAAACAACGAAGCCGGTTTTCCAACACGCGAACTGGCAACGTACAGCTGTCCGTGCGAAAAACATGGAAATTCCAAATTGATCCCACAGACTTCCAACGATTGCCCTTGATGATCGTTGATTGTATTACATTGTTCATCAGTTTCTTAACGGACAATCGTGTACCATTACACAATTTAGGAGGATTTAGATTCTGCAACATAATTATGATCGATCCCACTTTTACCTGTAAATTATGCGGTGGAGTTCCGGGCACATCAAGCGAGTTCAAAAATTCTGTCGGATAGTTGACCGCTTCGTTTTCGTCAGTCGTGCTGTCAACGGATTTGTATGAACGCAGTTCTCCAGCAATTTTACACTGAATTGTAAAATTCAAGCTATCGACATCCTTATTCCTCGCTGCTAGTATTGCCCGTTCACTCATCCAATCGACATTGTTATAATTGACATCAATGTTTGGGAACACTTTTGTAATGAGTTCTTCCTTCGACGATGTGAACTCACAAAAATTTGCCGGAAACGATATTAATCCAGTCAAAACATCAATCGGAATGTGTCCATTACCAAACGCTAGCAGTTGTCTCGAGAATTCGGCAGCCCATGGGTCGTTTTGCAACGCAACTCTCGGCGTTTGTGCAGCGCTGGCCTGAGTATTATGGGCACGTCTAAATTCATTAATCTTTCTTGCATTACGTGTACGCCGTCCAATGTTTGTTCTTCTCATAGGAGGCCTGATTCAAGCATAAAAATTCTCTCCAAAAAACAATAGTCGTTTTTGATTGAAAAAGTTCATAGATAACATAAAACGATAATGTTTCAAAGTAAAATGAATAATGTGCCAACTATTATATTTGTTTACTCTTAAGTTATAAGTGTCTATAATAAAAAATGTATATCAATCAGAATATAAAAATATATTTTTTTTTCTATTTTTCTTATTATTAATATTATATTTTTATTTTTATTTTTATCTGCTAGAGGGCGCCACCAGCGTAACTCAGTTTTTGTCTCTAAATCTCTAACTAACATGAGTTAGGTCCATAATTTATGCTATAAACCCGCTCACCGACATTCTCTATCATTAAAAAAAAATTTGAGCAAAATCGGCTATGCCGTTCTCAACTGATGCTATTTCTAATTTTTTGTCTCCATTTTTATATATAAAGATAAACACAAATACAAGTAACTTTTAGTATTATGTTTTATTTAATAAAATTAAATAATAATAATAATAACAATTGTTATAAAACGAAAAACCTAACTCCTTTTTATTTAATATTGTTAAAGTATGAAAATAATAAAAATAATTATAATACATTTTTAACACATGCCGTGTTATTTTGATTGGAGAGATTTGTAGAAATCATGGTAGGCTGTTGGAATAAGTCCCATGGAGCTTAATGATAATAAATCGGAAATTTTCGATTTTTCGATTGATGACTTTCTATTATAATCTTTAATTGGTTCACATCGCGGCTGATGCTTACCTCTTTGTTTTCTATGTAATTTATGAATATCAATTTTGATAAAGTCTGCCTCACTTAAGTCATATTTAATGTATAGTTGAAATGGATTTTTATAATCCACAGTTATTTCTCTAATACTGCTCCACTTAATTTTGGTACCATCATCCGCAGTTTTCCAGTTGAACTGTTTTTCATTGACTAGGGTCTTGAATCTAAAAACTCTTCATTCGATACTTCAATCACTGTATAAGGATTTCCGGCAACTTTTGCACAACTGATCAGTGTTACCCATTGTGCTGGGATATAAATAACTTTCTGCGCATTTTCAATGCATGCGTGCACGCTGTCAACCTCGTTTTGGGTATGTCCTTTTCCCAAAAATGTATGAGTAATTTTAACTTTTAATTCAAAACCCGCATACTCCCACATTGCGAATATGAACCGAATCAGATTCTGATCACTGCAGTTGTCAGAGTAAAAACAAAAACCGTTGACACCATTTTCTTTTTGTGCTTCATAAATTTAAGCAAACATGTGGCGATTTCGCTAGAACCATTTTTTGCCTCACACTAGTCCCATGTATAACAATAGCCAATTTTTTTACCAATATCATAAACGGTGAAATTATAGGTCGCAAATTTTGTTTATAATAAAATGAACTTACTTCACTTTTAGGTGTAATAAGTACTTTTTGCAAGTCAAAGACTGCTAGGTATACAAAACTCTGGTTTATTAATCGCTCTCGCTTTATCAATATTTTTTTATCTCTGACAATAGACTTGTTTTTTAAATGCTCTTCATTAGAAGTCTTCATCAACACTTTTTCTTCTGGAGAACTTAAATTGTTCACATACCTCGAATAAGTCTTTTTTCGGTTTAAAAAACTAAGATTGAAACATGCATTAAATATATCTGTATATTGTCTCAAAGTTGCCATCTGAGCTTTTTCACTGATAGTATTTTGTGTTTTGGCTCATTCTAAATAAAACCGATGCATTTTTGAATTCGATAGGTAAGATTCTAAGTATTGTTTTTTTGAATCTTTTCTAGTGTAATGAGAATCTACTACAGGAAACCTCGAAATGTGTTTTTTAATACAATCTGTTACTTCCCTTGAAATTTTGTGAGGTCGATTTATATGTGAACCTCTTTGGTCAGATGGTATCACGGGAGAAACGGTTAATTATTTACCCAAATTACTCACTATTTTTTTCCGATATAGAAAATGTTTTCAAAAACATAATTTTACATACCTGAATTTCTTCATTTTTGATAGGGAAATAATACTTTTTTGACAACTGTCTACGTGAACTCGAATTCGTTGATACTTTTTTATCAAATGTTCTTACGTATCTCGCAATAAACTCCCACTGTCTATTTTTATTTCCTAAACTCTAGAAGTAAGCAAATAATTCTTGACGCGTTTCCTCACTAATTTTTTCAGAGCACTTCATTCTACATTTACACTGTGTACCCATTTGTTTTGTATTTATGGTTTTTCCATTTTTTGGTACCAGTACCACTATTGAAAAAAAGAGTAGAAATGTTACTCCAAAAGAAAAACTTAACGTACAAAGAATACGTCTGAATGGATAGATACAAAAGCAAAAAGTTACTTAAATTGGATTTACAACATACCAACAGAATAGGAAAATCATAAATGCAAAACAAATGGTACCAGGTACCAGGTTATCTAGTTCCTAGTAGTATAATAAATTAATTGAATAGATACTTTTTTTATATCCAAGTAATATGAAAATGTTATTACAATATTATTAATTTATTATTAATGGTGAATAATTAAGAAAAAAATGAATATCTTATGTTTAAACAAAAATAAATAAAATAATAAAAGTAAATAATTAATATAACAGTGAGCACCTAATACAAAACTGCATAAGTAGTTATTAGCAATTATAATATTTTAGTTTCTTCTGTAGTTTTGTATTAAGTAAATCACTATTATATTATAAACTTACTTAATTTATACATTTTTTTTTTTTACATTGATATTTTACATTTAAACTTACAATATTATTGTTGGAAACAATTTCAGAATTATTTTCAATTTCAGTTCCTACTCTTCTACTCTTTCTTTGCTGCATTCTTTACTTGAATCCTTAAATACAGATAAAAATTAAATTAAAATAATAGGTAAACAAGTTATTATAATATTATGATAATAAAAAAAATTAATCTATTTGTATCATGGTAATAAATAGTATAAACTGATTATGAACTTTTTTTTTACATTATGATTTTAAATTTAACAGCTAACACTTAAAATATGTAAGCTTACAATATTATGATTGACAACTACATCAAAATTATTATCTACATCATATTCAATACAATATTGATTTTCATAAATATTGTATTTTGGATCATTATCGCTGTCATAGATAATACTATTATTTGCTTCACTACTGCAACTACTGATATCACCATGAGCGTAGTAGTCCAAAAAACTAGAGCCAATTGAATGATCATCATCACTCATACTGTTTAAATCTATTGCCAGTTGAAAAACATTACAACATTATTGAAAGTATACAATGTTTGTAAATACAAAAGTTATAATATTATTATTTATGTTTTACTATAATTTATTACTGAAGTATTTACTTACATTGTTGTTTTCCATTGTTTTTTGTAAATGAAACAAATCATAATAAATAATAATATTAAAATCTAATATATACGACCTTATTCGTCGGTTCTATGATTGTGTCAATTCTTCGTATCCAAACATACGACGGATTTCGGGAAATTATAAATATAATTAATATCTAATCTCTTCGGAACACTAGACATACGATCTTTTTCATACTATAAACAGAAAAATATTCTTTATCAGATGATAGTGATATCTCAATATTGACAAAAATCGAGATAGGACCTTTTATGTTGGGGCCGTCGAAATGTGTTAGACGATTAAAAAAAATAAATAATAAAACGGTCATGGGGGGAAACGACACCCAAATCCCCCCCGTTATTACGCCACTGCTAAACATTCATACAATTACTTACCAAAATAATTCTCTAAGTTAGGTATTTATTATTTATTATTGGTACCTATCTAAAAGATTAATTGTTGATTTCATTAGGTAAATCATTTAATTAAAATGTAGATATATACCTAATTTAATATTAATAGTAATTGGAAAGTTTATTGCTTATAGTGTATAAGTGTATAGGTACCTTATTTTTTTATTAAATTAATTTGAGTAAATTTGTCTTCTTACATAATTATACATTATACGGAATTTTTCGTTAGGGACTTTTTAGTATGGACTTCCAATAAATCATTATGTCGCCATGTGGCAGTTTGAAAGGTACAAATAAATAATTAATGTATGTGTGTAGTCTTGGTTTGTTGGTGAAATCGTAAAAAAAATTGCACTGTTTTCAAATTGTATTAATAACGTAATTTAAAAATGGTAAGAAATAAAAATAGAAACGGAGAGACAAGTGTCTAGAGACGCAACTAAAACGGGATTGGACATAAAACGCAATTGCCAATTAGTACTATATGTCTTTATAGTGTATTATTACTAATTAAAAACGAACCTTTGGATAAGTTGTGTATGCTTGAGAACTAGATGGCTTACTATGCTGTAATGTAATTTACTTGATAAGTTCGTCATACAGATCCAGTCAAAAGCCTTTTGCTGTATAGTCATACAAATTGTATTAACCTTTTTCAATATTAGCAATTATATTATACAAATAGGCTATATTCTCATAAAGTAATAATTATAGCATCATTATATATTACGATGGGTAAAACACGTGTTATTATTGAATAGAAAGTTGAGTATAAAATCAACTATAATTTTTAATATAGGGAGAATGGTAGACTCTGTACAGTGTACACCCTAAGACTATACAAATACAAATATATTATTATATATAGCATGCAGGGCGATCAATTTATTTGGAAGGGTGGAAATCACGGCTCTAATATATTGTTCACACAAGTTTCAATATTTACACGAATAAAATATAATTTATATTAAAAAATTGATTGAACTAGCTTAAATAAATAACCACGCATACAGATAGTATGGTACCTATATAATTATAAATAAATATTATTTTAAAATAAATAATACAATTTTGTAGTTAAAATTTTAAATACTTGAAAAAAATGTATTTAAAATTTCGATAAATTATACATAGGTAATTGAGAATCAAATGATCGATATTTGTGTCCCTACTTGATTTTGAAAAAAATTATCTAACTGTCTTAAATAAATTACAGTGCATATTATATTATATTATATAATGTATGAAAATATGTTTGAAATGTTGATACACTAACACTAGGTACTCAGTTAAATGAGAATCAAATTACCTAAAAATCACTGATGCGCTTCTCTTAATGATATATAAATATGAATTTCCACAACTTAGTAAATTAAAAAAAGAAAGAAAAAGGTTTTACTACATTTAAAGAACTTCAACGTCTACGTTCGGCTAATTATAAAACAATTGAATATCGTTTTTGTTATTAATTATTATACTATAATTAATAATAGGTAGGTACTTTGTTATATTGTTTTAACTAATAATAATGTATAACACTTCAATCACGGTTAAACATCTTCATGCATGTGACTTATCTTTAATATAATATTTGCATTTATATAAATATTTGTATAAAATCTAGAAACCCTAGTTGCAATGTTATAATTTTTTTTAATTTTTAATTTAATAATGTGCACAGCGTTATGAAACTATCTTCATATAGATAAATACAACAACTTACTGTTGTTACCATAATTGCGAATAATAACAACAACAAAAAAGTGACCATATTCAAATATAGTTAGTACAGAATAAGTTTTTTTTTTTTTTTGGGGGGGGGGGGGGGTCATTGTATTTTTGGGAGAGCTTAACCTCACCCCACATTTTTTTTTTTAACCATTGTTTTAATGTAGAATTATTTTGTAACGTAGATTGTAGAACATTTAAATATCTATAAATTATAAGATCAAAATTATAAAAATATTTTTTTTTTATAAATTCGTTTTAAAATTTTAGTTCCAAGTCAAATATATAACTATATTATTATTGCGTATATACTATAGAATACATTAAAAATGCTAATAACTCACTTAAAAACGGTATCGTCGTAAAAAAAATACATAGGTACAAACACAGATAATGTTCTTACCATCGAGTTTCATAAGAGGTCGAGGTGAATTCACTCTATTTTTAAACTAACGATGCTAAACTTGATCTGCTGAGCTTAAACTGTCTATGTTACTCACTTTTAAGACAGAGACAACAAATTCAAAGAGTGAAGTCCTCTTAAACAAATATTTATACATTATTTATTACGATAGAACTCGTACATTTTAAACCCAATATCAACAATAATTATACATTTATTTGTTCGAACTATGTTTATTTATTATTATTTT